AATGTGTGCTGTAAAAACTAAAACAACCATCAAGCCTAACTGGAGGCTACTGTCTCTTTTAGGAAATTATCTGTGCCTTTTAAGGAGTGGCTAAATTTTCCATCGAATTGAATAAATGAATAGTATCCATATTAAATTGAATAATATTTATCTCAGAGGTTTTCAGAAGCTTAAATATTACACTAAAGTATCTAGAAAATAGCTTAATACATAGGCACAAAGATTTCAAGACTTTTCCCCCTGAAATATATTTTCATGATATTTGCATGATAACTATACTCTTATGAAAGTTCTCCACCATTTTTTGGCTCTGTAACATTAGCCACCTTTAACTATTTCATCTACTCTTGTATAAATAAATATTTTGAAGCTTCTTTGAATGTCTAAACATATAATAATGACTGGCATATTAACATGCAAGCTGCTTTTAATGGGTCAAATTGCAATGAGTGCTGAGAAACATCACTTATTGGGAGACCCAAATGCCAAATATGACAATGCATATGGATGTACCTAAAGTAAAATGGGTGAGACTAACAGCACAATTAGCTGGGGCTTTTCATAGGGACCCATAATCATTCACTTAGCAATGATTATTTTCATTATTCATTCATTATTCAATTCCTAATGTTTTATTTGTATTGTATACTGAACCACACTATGAAAAACAGAGCTACTCTCCTACCTTCCTCTTCTAGTATTCCTGTGATTTTAAGTGGTTACTTTTGCTATTGTCAAAAAGTCTCATATATTCTCCCCATTTATTCTCACTCTCTATTCCATTACCTCTTCTTTTTTTGATGGAAGTGTTCAACCTTATCTTTGAGGTCACTAATTGGATGTTTAGCCTCATACCTTCTGTTTCTGTGCTTGCTACAATGTTCTCTAGTTCCTTGATTTTTACACAAATTCTTTAATTTTTTTCATCAGACTCTCTTCACATTAATCAATTCTATCTTCCATATTTGATTTATTTCAATTTCAATTGATCAATTCTATCTTCTGTATTTGATCATTAAACATTGGGAATATTTTTATTCTAAGGTCTTGTTAATTTAAAAAAAAGTGTGATGTCTTTGGGAATCTATTGGATATCTGGTTTTTATGCAGCTAGATTTGTTTGTTTTCACAAACAAATTTTGGTGCTGTGTCAAACTGTGAGACTGGATATTTACCTCCCAGGGCCCTCTTTTCTGTTAGTGGGGTCCCACAGTTGGAGGGCATGATGGAGACACACTGATGTTTACCTGAATAATAGTCTCAGAGTGGGGAACCAGTGTCCTGTGTCTCTAGGGTCATCTCTCTCCTATAACTTCCTCAAAAACACTATGTAGCCCCAATATAAATGGGAATCTTGATTGGACCTGGATGCCCCTGAGAATTGTCACATGTAGTTTTGGCTCCTGAGCACTGTGGAACCCAGCATGCACTCGATCCTTATTCCCTGCAGGGGATAATAATGGAATAAGTTCACTAATTTTTTTTTAAAAAAGGTTTAGTTTGAAGTATAATATAAAACATAATTTATTTAATATGTTTATTATTTCACTTGTTATTCTTTTAAATTTTGGTACAGGGTCTCCCAAAGATACTCAAGAGGTACTCCTGCTAAGACCTTCTAAATATATATTTTCATTGTACTGTTTAGTAATGGACAATCAAGTAGACAATTCACTCGTAGGTTCTAGTATGTAGTATATGAGTATTTTATCATCTATACATATATTCCACAATATAGTTTTAACCACATAGAGTTTCTGGTATTATGTAAACATGAAAATATTGAAATCAATTAAGAAAGACATTTTACAAAGTGAATCTAAGGCTAGGGATATATGGTAACTGCATCAACAACTGCCCTGTGTGCAAAGGAGATCTACTCCAATTAAGGACATCTGGGGAGAGAAACCAAACTACATAAGTTCATTCTAAACCAAAGATCTACTCATCACACTTTTATGTTTGCTTGTTTATCTATTTTTCTTTACACATAGATAGTAAGACATACATACACATAGTAAAACATAATGAAAATTATATATTTGCATTTATATTCAATAAAATATATGATTTATAGATAATAATAAATATCACATACTATTGACAGTTTGTGCAGACTAAAAATAGCTGTCTTATTCAAGCTAAGTTCTGTTATGGTGCAACACTGACATAGACAATACATTTTTCAAATCCTGTAAGTTGCTATTTAGCTTTAAGTTCTGACAATTATCAGAAACTAATAAAATTTAGTTTCTGTTTTGGGGTTCTCATTTGGCAAATAAGAGAGCAAAAATAATTGAAATTGAAGGGAAAATAAATACCTCACTGTCACGTACATTGGCATACACACACCTGCATACATACACACAAACACACCTCCAAGTGCTTTGCTTAAGCTCAGGAAAGGCAGAGGCTAATGCTATGAAAATTAACCACTATAATGTACTAAAATAATGGTAATTAGAAATATTCTAGGAATAAAAATGTCTCTTCATTGCTAGAGGGCTAATATTTATAATAGCAAATGATAATAATTCCAGAGGATTTTTTGCCTAGTAATAACATGCGGTACCAGGAGAATAGAATGTAATACATGGAAATTTCCATGAATGATTGGATTTAATTTTAATCAAAACTTTGAGTTTTCTTTCTGATATGCAGTTGGAACATTTTAATCTTCTTCCTTAGGGGAAAGTTGAAAATTTCTCCTATTCAGTCTTCACTATTTGATTTTGCTATGATAAAAAGGAAAATCAATATAAATATGAAGAAACGCAATCCTGTCATAAGGAACCAATAATGAAAGAGTTCTGTATTTTGTTTGTTGCTAGAATGTTTCCTAGGTGCTGGGCCACTATCAACACTACCTCCAAAACCTTCAACATGGCAATAGGGTGGGCGTCGTTGAGCATTGCAATGGCAGTGATTTCTATTATTGCAAATTCCATTCATATTGCAGGTCACAGGTGAACAGTATCTTTTGAAGTCTGGCATTGGAACACACTTCCGTTTCAAACAAATATAGTTTTCCCCACATTCCATGCCATCTTTCACGTCACCAACATCAGGTATGGTCATGCCGACATGGTAGTCCGTACTCCAGCAGCTGTGGCCACTGATATTCGTTGAAATCAAAGTCCTGTGATGTTGCAGAAGAGGAATTTCTCTCACATTCTCACACTGAATCCTTCCACACATAGAATCCTTGAGCTGGCACTGAGTGTACGTTGTGCTATTTAAACTACAGTGACCAAAACGATCACCTTGTATATTTACGTCTCTATAGCAGCTGAGAGTTGCGCTCTTAGCCTCTTTACCAAAAATGCTTCTGCACTGTGCATCGCGGTTGTTGCATCTCTTTTCATAACAGTATCCACCGCCCTTGCATGGAATCCCACCCTGCACATACACATCCTCTGGACACCGAGAGGTTTTCCCATTGCACCACTCTGGAAGATCACATTCATTTTCCTCTTTTCTACACAAAGTACCTGCTGGCAAAATCTTGCAGTTCTTGCAGCAAAGCCCAACAGCACAAAGAGCCCCACGTTTCAGTGTGCAATTTGTCTCACAGCAAGGATCTTTTGCACATGAATGAATGGAGCCACAATCACAGTCTTCTCCTTTTTCAACCACACCATTCCCGCAGTGTTTCTCCTTGGAGGTTTTCTCTAAAATTAGTGGGTGTTTCAAACAATCTGTGCCCGCACAGGTCCTTAAATACTGACTGTAACTGCAGTTGCTGAATCTAGTTGCATCAACTTTTGATGGGTGCATTATGCAATACGGTTGCCCACAAGCACAATCCTGTTCATCATGACCCATACCCAAATTATGACCCAATTCATGTGACATTACATTTCCGACCTCAATAATGTCATCATTCATGAAACTACTAACCCCACAATTATATAAATCATTACAAACTGTTCCCACATAAGCTAAACCAACAGTGTCACCATATGATGCCTTGACAAAAAAGTGGGCAATATCGTGGGGCAAGCGATCATTAAAGTGCAGTCTTTTCCAGATGCAAAAATTTTCTAGGAGGCCTTCCATAGTATCTGTTGCAACAAAATTTTCTTGAGTCCAGATTTCAATTCCCTTCAAAGAGAGATCAATATTTAATGGTTCAAAAATAAATTTGACCACATTGACTATAAGAGACACTTCAAATTGCACTTCCGTGGCATTACTGCTATGGTGAAGATACCGATTTTTATCAACCACTATGCCAAGTTCAAGATATTGCTTGTGGGTCCACCAACCCATGTTACTACTCTGAGCTGAAGTGGATAAATTGGCATTCTTTAAAACCTTGAGTTGATGTTGAATTTCATCATCTGTTAATCCACATTTCTTGGATTGTAATTCTTTCTCCTCACTCTTCAGTTTATAGACCACATGTTCAAATGTGGTTGAATGCATTTTGGGTTCAATTTTATAAATAGTGGTGTCTATCTGTAAGATTCCATGAAATCCTCCAAAACAACTATTTATGGAAACCTGGGATTTGGGGTCTCCTTCCACATAACCATAATAGTAGCAGTTATTCTGGATGAAAGGATAGTCCTTACGGAGAGCTCCCTGGTCCGTGTAGGTGAACACTGGCATGTGCCTAGCCAACAAATGTTTGATGACCTTCAAATGTACAACATATCTCTGGCCCTCCAACTTCAGACTGTAAGAGATCCAGTCAAAAGATTTCATACCAGTACCAGAGTCTGTGATCTTCAAGGGAATTATTACTTCTGGGAGATGTTCGCTTTGGGAGTACGCAATCTGGGACCACCTACAACACATCAAAGACACCTTCAACCAGAACAACAGGAGTGGGATTCTTACTTGCACCAGTGCCTCACTCACAGCTGTTATGGATTCCCATATAGAACCATTAGGGAGAGCAATGGAAGGCATGACTGGAAATATCTTTGTTCTGTGTTCTCTCACTCAGCTGAATGGTAGGCAGTACTGAATGAAATATCTGTCCTTTTACAGTTTCACACCACCAAAGAACGGCACTAAAAGGATAAAAACACAAAGAAAGACATACTGGAATGGGAATTATGAACACACCAAGGTAGAAGATGAAGATCAAATTAAGAGAGAACTTGAATTAGTATTTAGCTGGAGAAGCAAGTCACTAAATAATGCTCTGAAATAATGGTGCCTTACAGTGAGAACTGCAGTGTGCCACAGCACGTTCATTAGCCACAGCTTGATAATCACTGAATTAAGATGCAGCATTCCATTATACTGTTCTCTAAGTATATGAATGTGTAAGAAAGTGAATGTTAACGCAAATGGAGTCCTTTTTAAAGTTCTGCACACCAATCAAATCCACTTACTGATGAAAGTATTGCAAAATGAAAAGGACTCTTTCAAAATGTATCTATCTCCTGTACCCTGAATTCATTTTTTCTTATTTCTTTTAAAACAATGATTTACTGACCCTTGATATCTTTTCTCTAGAATATTTTATGACCCTCATAGGACTTCCCTTCTGTGAAAAGTAATGAATACTTTCTGTCCATATGTCTTGCTGGCAAGCTACTTATTCCTGATTAATGCCATTAAATTGGCCTGTCTACAATGTCAGTCTCATCAGATGATAACTTTCCTTCTCAGAATATGACATACAGTATAGGCCAAATATCTGGTTTCTGTTTTCTTAGATTAATGAAGTGAAGATACTAACAAAAAAACTCAGTTATCTCATTAAACTGCTATTTATCTATTTTTACTATTTCACAAACACTTAAATTTGCAATGACTGAAATAATAATTCCATGTACATTTCACTAATGTATGAACTGTCCCCTAAGAATTTAACCAGCATAATGGTTTTAGTTATCATTTTTTCTAGTAGAGTATTTTTTATCAAAAATCTGTATTTTCAGCTTATATCCCATTTTCATTAATATCTATTTACCATTGACCATTGCCTGTATCTTATAATCTATCAAATTTTTAATAAACAAATCAATAGTGTTAACCAAAAACTCTATTCTTCAACAAAACTTACTTCCCAAATATAAATTAGAAAATAACTAATTTTCACAGCATTTTCTCCCAAGTATTTAAATTCTCCTTATTTGACCCTATAGACTGCTTCTAGTCTCCATCAGTTCAACCACTATTGAAAAGCTATTCCAGTGCAGTAGATAACTTCTATATGAAAATGCCAAAACTATTTGTAAAGCAGATCACACATTATTAAGAAGGAGTGTGTACACAGCTGAAATGTATAAATTAAGGTGTGATAGTCTGATACATTGTCATAAACTATAATTAATTTATGATTCATGATTTCAGTTTTTATCTCCATTGATTGGTAACTTTTTGATTGCTCTAAAATTCCTCAATGTATGTACTATTATATTTCAATAGTGGTAATTTAAATGGTAGAGCCAGGGGTTCTACATTTTCCACATATTTAATAAAGTTTTTATAAAGACCGGTGTCTTTATTATATCAGGTAATTGACATGGGTGGACTTCATGCTAAAAATTATAATCATTATTATACTAGTGTCTCTATAGCAGGTAGGTGTATCTCAGAAGTACAAAAGGGTGAAAATTTTTATGAAATGCCAAAAGGTCATGTGAAGAAAATAAAACATTTCACTAGTACCAAAAGAACATGAGAAAGAAATAAAAGACAGCTTTGCTAAAATGTGAGTGAAATATTAATGGTTGAAATTTTCACTATATAACTCTTGATATATATTGGCCATTATGGAATATGAATTATTATTGTAATAGAAAAGAAAGATTTATAAGTAGTGAAGAGAATCATCTTAGCCAACATAATTTCATCAAAATCTATTCATTAGCTTTCATCTCGCAGGCATAGAATAGGAAAATCCAAATTACTGGAGAACATACACTAACATATATACTCATTACATTTTTAATATAATGATTCCAGAGACATCCCAAGAGAATGAAACATCACTGTTCCTTAGTATATACTATAATTAACACTTTCAAAATAATCTTTTATAAGATTTCCTATCCATAATATTATCATCAAGTTAGTCAATCTTTCTATCCTAGCTATCACCTTCACTCGTTTATGCTCTAATTCACTGTTTGCCAAGATATGTAACAATCCATTCAAACACAGTTTTGTGCTTTCAAGTTAAATTGAGTAGAATATGAAAGAAATCTTGTGGCTTTCACTCAAGGTCTCAGAACTTTTAAAAGACTATTTTATATGTATGTGTTTTGTATATATAGTTAAAAATTTACAAATATCAATGCTTTTATCCTTATAGATAAAGTTTTTGACTCACCAATCAAAAGTATAATGGTTCTCATGGTACTTTCTAGTTATCTCAATATTCATAGATACTTTTCAGTACTAATCTTCCCATCTTTATGAACAGTTATTTTTAGTTGCGATCTTACATAACAAGATACAAATCCCTTTCCCTTTTCTCTCTGATAATGATTTAATTCTAGATTCAGCTGCTTAGCAACAAAACATGCCAGTTCTACAGACAATGGCAACTGGCTTAAGTTTCTGCTCAATGTGATTTTGTCATCCATTGAGCATTCATTGTAATTACTTTTTAATATAATAAAGCTAACTGTATTCCTTATATTTACCCTATCAGTCATCCTACATACAATGAAAACTTTTCAATTTTAATTATGCTAATTATAATGTTTCTCTAATTCCAAATTATTTACTCAGCATGTAGCCATATTATAGAGTATTTGAGATAACCAAGTTGTGGAGAAACCCAAGTATTACTCTATTTAAGGTATTTTACTAAGTACTCAATTTCTGTTAATAGTGTCTTTCAATAATTTCTATACTTGATTTCATATCTACTCATATTTGTACTTTATATGGAAACTATTTCCAGTAGAGAAAGTAAAATCAAATTTTGAAGAGATTGATGTAAATAAAATTGTAAGAAAATAGACTAGAAAGATAGTTCACCAGGTGGAGAGCTTATTTTGCATATGACCAATCTGAGTTTTATCCCTGGTACCTCATACAACCACCCCAGCCTCATGAAGTGTGATCATTGAACAGATCCAGGAATAGGCCTCAAACACTATTGGATCCGGCCCTGAAAACAAACAAACAAACAAAAGCAAAACAGAGAAATAAAATAAATAACTGCTTTTAGTAAATAACATTTTAGTAAATAACATTTAAGATGTGTTTTTTGTGTTGATTTTTTTTTTTTGGTCAAATCCCCCAGCGATGCTCAGGATTATTAAGGGCTCTATACTCAGATATTTCTTGTGGTGATGCTCAGGGAGCCATCTGGGATGCCAGGGATCAGCTTACCCACTGTATTATTGGTCAGGACCCAGAAAATTTGATATTTGTAAAGACCACATTTGTCAACTTTCCTTGTGTAAGCCACGAAGAAAAGAATAATATAGAATCTTGCAGAGTTTATGTTTTGAAGAGAAAAGTGTCTGCTAAGGATAACGCTGTTTTGTCCTTCCTGCAATCTCTAACACTTTGTTCCATTCCATCATCTTTCTAATGTCTCTTTGACTTATTATCCAGGCTTCAACATTTTCTCTCATGACATTTTTCACTTTCTTTTGAGTATTCTTTATAACTAGTGCTTCAGATGCTGATGTGTGCTTTTACAAGTTTGGGTTTCTTGTTAAAGTCTTGTGGGTTCAATTTTAGTGTTGTTCTTGGCTACTTGGTAATTCTGAAGGAAACTATAATATAAAACTCTGGTAACAATAACTACTACTGTTAGTGGTCTACCCAATGTGAGACCCAAGAGTGAGCCATTGATGGTAAATGCGGACATCATCCTTTTTAAAGAACCACATTAGACCATGACCCTGCTAAATTTTGGTATTTTTTTTCTGGGATCACTATAACAAAATAATATGAAATCATGAGTCTTTTGAGGCCAGAAGATAGCTCAGTGTTTGGCGTGTAAGGCTAGCATGCTCAGTAACCACATGGGTTTCGAGCATCACAATCCCCTGAGCGCAGCCTGGTGTACCCTAGTACAGAGAAGGTGGTCTGGGAATCCCAGAGGCCTGCAGTGGCTGTACAATGAATTGTTGACCTGGTTAGCCAAAAATTGATAGTAGGCTTTCAGTCCTTTTGAACAACACTCGGTAGCTCCCATATCCCACCTTCGTACTCCCCATTAACCCCACCTTCCAAGGAAATTGATTAAGATAATGTTTTCAAATTTTCTAAAAATACAGAAGCCAATGTTCCAAAATGATGCTTACAAGTAGCCTATTTCATCTGAAGCCTTGGAAACATACCTACTTCTGTAGACTTCTCACTAAACTTATGGTCATCCTTTCTTTGAAACAACATAGTTCAGTTTACTCATGATGCTTTTCTCTGTTTATAGATGACTTTTATGGCATTTTTAAAACATTATACATGATACTTAATGATTGAAATCTGAAAGAATTTTCATTAACATCAGATATAAGACAAGTTTGCCCACTCTTACCACTATTATTCAATACTGTATTAACAGTCCTGGCCATAACAATTTGGCAGAAAAGATTGATATTGGAAAAGAAATAAAAATTATCACTATGTGAAGATTACATGGTACTCTACTTCCAGCAACATGAGACTCTATAAAAAAATCCCCTAGAAACAATAAACTTATATAGTAATGTGACAAGCTACAAAATCAACATGCAATCAAAGACATGGAAATAACAAAACCATCCCTTTAACAGTTATGTCTCAAAAACGAGTACCTGAGAATCAGTTTAATAAAATATTTAAGAGATTTTATGTAACGAATACTATAAATAACTTCTTGAAGAATTAAAAATAGAAGAAAATGAAAATATATCTGTTACTCGTTGTTTGGAATAACTAATGGTGTCAAAATGACAAAGCTGTCCAATGTCTTATACAGATTCCATGCAGTTCCTATAAAAATATCCATGACATTTTTTAAAACCATAGACCAAATGCTGTTGAAATTTATGTGGAGTAATAAACCTCCACAATAGCTAGAGCAATCCTACTTATAAAATGGTGGGAT